CGCCCCGCCTCGCCCCGCCTCACCTCGCCTCGCCTCGCGCCGTGCCGCGCCGCCCCGCTCCGCGCCTTCGCGGAAGCGGTGTTTAAGCCCCGCCCCCCGCCTGTTCTGATCCCTCGGGGCCGCCGTAGCGGGCGGAAGTGACGACGCCGGAGCCGCGGGATTCAAACTCCCGGAAGCGGCGCCGAGCCGGGGACTGGCCGGGTAGGGGCTGCCCGGGGCCTGTCCCCCCGCCGTGCTCACGGGGTCCGCCGCTGAGCAAAACTGTGTCAGCAGCGCCGTCCCGCCCGGCGGAAGGGATCGCTGCTCCCTGACGCTGGGTTTATTTTCGTTTTACAGGTGGTTTAGGATGAATTCCAAGACCGCCAAAGAGATCATCGCTGGCAAGTGGGGCTTAAAGTCGGGCAGCTCCAGGCCGGGGAACGGTGTGGACAGGAAATCCCTGGAGGAGGCAGGGAAAGGGAAGGGCAAAGCGGCCGCTGCAGAGAGCGGGCTCCTGGAGGTGAGGGGGGGGCTCGCACCCGGGCTGGCCATTGTGGGGTCCCAGCCGTGCCCGGTTAACGGGGGTCTGAGGGTGTCTGACCCGAGCAAGGTGCCAGTCTCGCCTCCTAAAGCGTAGTTTCCTTTGATGTCGGAGCCGTTTGACAGGTTTGTTCCCGAATGTTCTTGGGTGACGAAGTTTCAGTTTCTCTGTCACCTTCTAATGGCTCGATCCCGACGTGTCGGGTTCCAGCATCGACCCCCCTCATGGAGGATGAAACACTACCCTGCCCCGAGGTGTCCCAGGTGCAGCAGTGCTGCTCGGTACCCAAAAGAGAGTTCAAAATGGCTATTAAAGCACATTTTGAAACTAGCAGGCCAGATAATTTAGAAAACAGGATCCTTCTCCTGAATGCTTTATTATAACTCCTTTGTCATTTCACTTGTTGTCACCGAGTTTGCAAGAGGGCTCTGCTGCCTGTCAGGAGGTACTACGTACACTGACCAGCACTAAGGAACTGTCGCCGCACTGGGTGTGCAAGAGTCCTTGTGCTGCTTGTGTTTTGAGGTTCTTCTGTGGCAGTGACCTGTATTCATAGACACAACCAAGTCTGTGGGATTTGGTTCTTCGCATTCTTTCCTTGTTTCATCTATTTCAGACTGTTTTTACTATTGCTTGAAGTGTTTCAGATGATCATTGTAGAACTGTGATGATCATTGTAGTATTCTCTGGTTTGAGTACAAAGTAATAGTCTCAGCTAATTAAAGGCTAAGAGAGAACCTTTCAAAGTGAGTATCTCCTCAAACTGTTGTAATTACTAATGCATTTGTTGCACAGACTGACACTTACTCGTTTGTGTGACTTTTTCATTCCATTTCATCTAGAAAATACTTTCCCTTGAAAAAGAAAAAGAAAAACACAACCATCTTCTTGGAGAGAAGGACAAAGAAATCCGAAACTTGAAGGACAAGCTTAAATCCAAAAACAAGAATAGTGAAGTCTCCTTGTTACAAAGTCAACTGGAGGAAAAAACAAAGGAAGCAGAAACAAGAGAACTGTTATTTTCTTCTCTATTGGAAGAAATGAACTGTTTAAAATGTAATTTATCTACTGTTACTGCAAAGTGTTCTGAGCTTGAAAGCAGAGCTGGCACTTCTCAGGTGTCCCAGGTAAGCACTGAAGGAGCACTGTGGTTGCAAATTCCAAGCCTAACCCATAAACACACTGGTAAAGGAGAGAAGGACTTGGGGGTGCTGGTGGAAGAAAAGCTCAGCATGAGCCAGCAACCTGCGCTGGCAGCCCAGAAACCCCCCACCCTGGGCTGCATCCCCAGCAGCGTGGCCAGCAGGGTGAGGGGGGCATTCTGCCCCTCTGCTCCGCTCTGGGGAGACCCCAGCACTGCCTCCAGCTCTGGGGCCACCAACAGCAGAAAGACATGGAGCTGTTGGATGGGGCCAGAGGAGGCCCCGGAGATGCTGGGAGGGCTGGAGCCCCTCTGCTGGGAGGGGGCGCTGAGAGAGTTGGGGGGGGTTCAGCCTGGAGAAGAGAAGGCGGCTCTGGGGACAGAGACAGGACAGGAAAAATGAGCTGCTTATCTCATTTAACATAATTAATAGGTGCGATGCCACCTTTTTTCTAAGTGCATTTAGTTTTCTGCAGTTGTTTCTCCACCCCTGCCTGCCCTAATGCTCCACGGAAAATGCAGCAGGAGCACAGCAAAGCTGGCACCAAAGAGGTGCCCTACGAGCCTCTTCCAGACTCAGACCTGCAGATGGAGCTGGCTCCTCACGCTCTATAGAGAAGAGGAGTAACTTCTAGAAATCCAGCTTTAGCCAAATGCACAGCAAACTAGCTTAATCTGCTAATTTTCAATTATAATACATACATATATATATCTCACTTCTAGTAATGCAGTATCTTGGGAAATACCATTTTAAATGCAATGTGTTTCTTTTCAATTTCAATAGACTTTTAACTTTGTTAGAGAATTTAAAATGTGTGTTAATTCAACAGATTTACATTATATTTTTGTCAATGAGCTACCAAAATAATTTTTTGTTTAAAATCAGAATTTTGTTTTAAATTTTTTACTGATCTATCAACAGAAGACAACAAAATCTGACTGATGTTTTGGCTGGATGTCTTGGAAAACTTGAAAGCAAGTTTAGCAAAGCAGGTTGAGAGTACGAGGTGGCAAGTGGGCAGAGGGATGCTCTGAGGTGGGAGCAGCAGTTGTATGGCACCGTTTCCAGAAAGCTTTCACTGAGATGGAGTTCTAATGTTTATAGAAATAAGAATCAGAGCAATTGTAGTGTCTCTAAGTCCTGGACAGGCTCGTGGCGTTTCCTGGGTGTTTATAACCCTCCTGTTACCCCAGTGAATTGTCAAGGTCCCCAGCTTTCCCCAACAACTCTTACCCACCTGCCTTATTGTCACACGTATGAGGATATGGAAATAGAACACTTTCCTTTTCTGTGTATTTAAATAATATTTTTCAGAGGTTCTTCTGTACCCTTCAGGTCTTCCAAGACAGCAGTTCATAAGAAAACACTTGATATTCTTCTTGGGAAATGTTTAATGTTAATAGTTACAGAATGAATTAAATATAAATCTTTGTCCTGTATCTTCCAGGAGATTTATTTTAAATCTACGAAATGGTTTTCTACAGAACATAGATACTTCTTTTTTTTTTTTTTTTTAAAAAGGATAAAATTCTTTAAACATGAAAGGCATAGGTATGCATCTGTTTTCCAGGTTTATAATATTCTTATGCCATTTATGTGGCATTAATGGTCAGACAGGGGCAGCTTTGCTGTTTCAGCCATCTGTTTTAAAGAACACTGACAGGTTGTTCTTTGCCTGCAGGAAGCTGTAACAAAGGGCACTGGGTCAGCAACTCCTCTCTATGAAGTCGAAAAACAACTGAAAGATGTAAGTTTCCTGTAAAACACTGCAACTATATACCGTTTGTATAAAGATGCATAAGCATGTAAATTATCACCTTATACATTTTTGGGTAGTATGGGACCTCGGGGTATGCTTCCCTCTAAAATACAATATCTAAAATTATTGTGTGACAAGACAATAATTTAAATAAAAAAAGACTTGGAAAAAAAAAGACAAAGATTACTAATTCTTTTAAAAATCTGATAAATTGCCAGAGGCTTTTCTGTTGTTCTGTTCCTTTTCCTGAAGGCACTTGAGAAAAACCAGCAGTGGCTGCTGTACGACCAGCAACGTGAAGCTTATGTCCGGGGATTGCTTGGAAGGATCTTTGAACTTGAACAGAAGTCAGAAACAGCCAGACAACAAGAGTGTAAAGAATTCAATTCAGAAGGTATTGACTCTATTTTTTCCCCATAAGTGACCTGAACCATAATTATCTATAGAATAAAACTTCTGAAAACAAACTAAAGCACTATTAAACAAAATCAAGACTTTCTTCTCAACATTTTGGTTCCTTAATGGCAAAACTTGGTTAAGTAAAATTACTTTGCTTCCTGGTACTTAGCTATATTACATCATCAACAGTATTTCATGTTCTTATCTACTTCAAAGATGGTTTTTAACAGCCTTGACACTCTATTAGCAACCTCTCTGTTTGCAGAAAGTGTCGAGGCAAACATATGTACGTCTCCCATCCTTCAAAGTGTGCTTCCAACCTGTAGAATGGATTTATGAGCTAGGTGTGGATCAGGGGGTTGTTGTTTTTTTTTTTTTAAATAAATATTATAAAAATGACTCAAGACTGCCACGTTCTTTACTCGCCTGAGGAGTTGTTACATGGCACTAAAACCTGTGGCAGGTTTTGGCACGGATGCAGAACGGTGTTTCGCAACAGGGACGTGGCCACCACCAGCTCATTCCCTGCTGGTTACCTCCTCAATAATGAGCACCCCTTCAGCCCCCTGTGCTCAGATTGAGTTGTGCCTGACCAGCACGTGCAATAAAGTTAAAATCACACTGAAGGGAAGAACCAGAAGGAGCTGGCTTGCTTTTCCTATTGTCAAACTCGGAGTTCCTGCAGCCAGAGCTTTGCTGTCAAAGCAGCAGGAGACAAGGAATAAGGTCTGACAGGAGCTGCCCTCCCCAGGCAGCTGGTCAGTAGCAGAGGTGGGAGTTTCTCAGAACCCAGCTGTATGAGTTGGAACCAGATATGACAACTCTTTCCAAGGAAAAACTTGCTATTTCTCTGAAGGTCTCCCCACCCTCTAAAGGAGTATTGCTAATGAAAGGGTAAGGCTTCACTCAGTTGAGGGGAGAAAGAACAGTCAAGCAAGAAACTTTGCCCAGTAAATTGCGCTTTGGAGAATGAGGCAAAGCCTTCAATAGGAAAAGGATCAAAGTAAAGAAATTTACAGTGGTAAAAATCTGTGAGGTTCTGCACTCCTTGTTCTGCTTTTAAGTATATTTTGTATTACTGCTGAATTTCTACAGGCTGCCAACTTTTTTCCTTTCCCTACTTACAAAACTTTCATTGTGTCAACAAGCAGAAATTTTTCCAATTCTGGTTTAAGGAACAGTCACTAGCCAAGAAGCAGGCTTTTTTAATCAATAAAACTCTCCTAGTCCCTGTTCTTTGCGATTTAGAAGTAAATGATGGCATCAAATTTGAAGAAGACAGTCTGGCTTTGGTGAGGAAGAGCCCACCCTTTGGTGGGAAGGAGACTTTACTCTGTTAAAAGTACTGGAAGCTGTTTGAACTGAAGTTTAGTGCTAGCCTGAGCTGGGTAATAGCTTAGAATGTCAGCTTCTATCAGTATACCTTAAAATCCTGTCAAGGATTTGGTGTGTTGATTTTTAAGTTATTCTCCCCCCATTACTAAATCAATTATTTCTGCCTCATTAAGGTCATCTGCAAGAGGAAAAGCAAAAATATTATGACCAGCTGTTACTAACTGCTAAGAGTGAGCTTGAGACTGAAAGACACGCTGTAACCCGGTTGAGATCTGAACTTAATGAATTCCAAAAGAAGTATGAAGAAAGCCAACAGGAAATAACAAGTTTAAATGCCTTATTGCAGTCACAACGGGTTGCTGAAATGAAGACTCTAGGAAATGAAAATAAAATGAAAGAAGAAGTGCAGAAACTAAAACAAGAAAATGAAACTCTTAAAAGACAGCTCAGAGAAGAAAAGAAAAAGTCTGAAGATCTTTTATGTCAGGTAAGTGGATGCACTTGGAGGTTTAAAACCATTAGCAATGAATCAGGAGAGCTGAGAAGTTGTACTTAATCAGCAAGGAACATCACTCACTTGCTCTGCTAAGTTTTGCCTGTATATTTTTGTCTGCATCCTAGCAATCACTCAAAATAATCAAACTGAACTTTCCTGAACTGTAACACCATGCTGCATTCTCCCTGCTCAGGGAAATTGTAAGGGTTCCCCAAAGTTTGCCCCAGAGACACAGAAATCCGAATTAGATCTAGCTGTTGCGTAAAAGCCACATGTTTTTGTATTGGAATATAAAAGTTTACTTCTATCCCTTTTCAGACTCATTATTTGTTAAGCTTATTAACTGTTGTACATGGAAGTTCTTTATTAGAAATGTTTTTCTGCCTTGTAGGTGCAACTTCTTCATAAATCGCTGCTCAAGCAGCAGGAGGAGCACACTAGGACAGCGCTATTGGAACAGCAGGTACTGAATTACACACCAGGATGCTGACAGCTGACCTGTGCTATGCACAAAGGCTTTTAGACTAACTTTTCAAATTTAACAATGAGCAGTACATTAAATGAAGTAATATTAAATATGAATATTCAATTGTAAATAATCTCTTGATGCTTCTAAAAACATTGATGCATCTGGCAAGAGGAAACCTATTACAGATAAGAGGGTGTGATCAAACCTGATGCTATTTTCTCCACAATCACTTGTTCAACTGCACAGCCTCAAATTAGCTATGGGAAACGTCCTGCAACCAATGGGCTCATTGAGGTTTTGTAATACGCTCTTGATAAAGTTGTACAAATAATTGCACTGACCTTTCTTCCAAGTACATTCTTACAGCTCTAATTCATGTTTTTGGGAAAAAAAGTTACAATTATTTGCTAGGCTTGGGTGAACAGTGTTACCCATCGCTTCTGCCCAAACTGTCTTGGAACAAGAAAGATCCTGGAGAAGAAGCTGGCATTTTTCATGAGAACTTGCTCTATATGCTTTCCTATAAAACACTCAGCTTGAGATTGCAAGACAGTTTAAAATACCCTCCAACTAAAATAACTTCAAACTCAAATTCTCATAATTGGGCATGTATGAATTTCACTGCAGTGAAAACAAAAATTTTTTTTTTTTTTTTAAATCCCATTTTAGGATATGATAGTAGAGTAAAACTTTAAATATATAAAGGGGAAACACTTCTGCCAGCCTCTTTCTCCTGTCTTCTCCCAATTTTTAATAATTGTGATTTTAATTCTTTTATTTTCACACTGGTGGGCTGCCAGATCCAGATGTGCACCACAGACTTTGAGAATGAGAAGCTTGATCGCCAGAACTTGCAGCATCAGTTAAACAAAGTCCTTAAGGAACTGCACAAGGCCAGGGAGCAAATCACCCGTCTGGAGCTTCTGGTACGTACTGAGTAACTTGCAAGTGAATTTAGGCTGGGGTTTTGTATAAATGTACATCTTTTCACTAGAATCTGATTTTACGTGTAGTGAATCTTCTGTTAATGTCATAAACCACTCCCTTTAGGCCCTTACAGCCTTTAGGAAGGTGGTCCCAAGGCACAGAACCCAACATCAGCCAGGCAGCCATTGTTTGTCTCTGCAGCACACGTGGAGAAGGAGACCCGGAACAATCAGGTTCCTGAGCAGGGGACACTGAGCGCCATGGTCTCTTTGTCACTTACTGTATAAGCCCAAAGAAAGCCCCCTAGATTTGAGCCCTAGGCTTAATGGAGAAGTTTGTAGAGAAGGATGAAGTATTAAGCAAGCCATTGATCTGGCTTGCACTGGCGTATGCAGGATTTTTTGACTGTTGGTGCTTCTGGAACTCTACAGTCTCTTGTAAGATCAGGTGGTAACTGAATAGGATTGTCAAAACTGCATCTCTGGACTAATTTAAATGAGGTTCAAAATGGATATCCAACCTGTGTCCTTCTTTGGATCAGGTCTGGGAACTGAGGTGTTGTTTTATTAAAGAGTATTGTATGAGTGGTGAGGAAGATGGTTGGGGGAGGATTCCCAGTCAGACGTTGTGGGGAAACCTGTCTTAAATAGGCTGCAGAAAAGCTACACGCAATCGAATTTAAACGCAGTGGTAGAAATGTACAACGTGCCCTCTGCTATTAACACGAGTAGCGTAACTGCATTTACCCAGCTTAAAATTCTGCCCTTAGAGCTGTGACACACACAAGTCTCGTGTGCCATCAAACTCTAATATTTTTTTCCTACAGTATTTGGTCAGTGCACTCCCCAGTCTCACACTAAAGCCTCCCCTTTTGCAGAAACTCCAGGAATCTGGCTGCCTGGAACCCCACGCAGACCTGCAAGCTGCCTTTGAGGAAAAGCTGACCACGTGTGACCAAAGTCCTTACCGGAAACATTCCAGCATTCTGGATGAAAGTTTCCTTGAGTGCCCCAGATGCCAAGTGCAGTACCCAACAAGCCAGCACAGAGAGCTCCTAGCACATATCGACTTCTGCACAGCTTGAGCTCCAGAGGGATGGACTGTGTTTGCTGTAGCCACGCCGCCAGCATGCTCTTCTGCGAAGGCAACGCATCTCCTTAAAGCTTTTCTTCCTACGGTTGTATGAAGGACTTCTGTTTTATAACTCTGTTCCACAAAAACATTATAGTAATTTATTTGGCCTCAAACATTTTACCTGACTTTTTTTTTGCAAAAAGAACAGCTACTGCATACCTTAAAATAGTAAACTACTGACTTAATCTTTTTGCACTATTAAAAGTGGGAACAGTAAAAGCAGACCCATTGTGTCAGGCTTTGTTTTAATGTTTGGCACATCCAGTTCTTGGTTGGCAACTCCTGATGATTGGGTTTGTACCTCAACTGACAGCAATGGGCCAAAAATATTTTGCAGCTTAATAGGTATATATATATTTATATATGCATGGTGTGTGTATATGTATAGTGGGTAGATACAGGTATTACATGTATCACGTACTTGTGTAATGTATCGCTATCTTGATACTCTAAAACTCAGGAGGTTAAGAGGTCTTTAAAAAAAAAAAAAAAGAGTAGGATTGGTTGGTTTTTTTTTTTTTGTTAAGAGGTCTTTGCTGCTTAAGATTCCTGTTGAAAACATCAATCCTAAGCAGCTGCTTTTCCTGAACCACACTCAGGGCTGACTTACAGTTCATATAAAAACGCCAACCGAGGTTTAAACTCTTCTTAAAAACATGTCATTGGGAAAACAAACTTCCCAGCAAACACAAGCTTTCTTGGTGCTGAAAAAGGGAGAATAGCACTGAAGTAAACCTGTTTGCACTTCTGTATTTTAGAGGCTAAAGTTGGGAAATGTCAGTTATTTAATGTTACATTTGACAAATGTCCCAGTTTAAAAGTGCGGCTTTTAATAAACTGCTCTAGTGGGTCTGAAGTGCCACTGTATTTTGATATTAATACAGAAAACAGATTAGCAATAAATTCTTGCAACGCATTAGAAACTGACAAAAAGTTCACTTAGAGATTTGCAATCACAACATTATTTTTCTCTACAGCACCTCCTGTAAACCTGGGTCTGTTCCTTGCATTTTGCTCCTTGTGCCTGTGGTTAAGTCCAACTAGCAGTTCCTTCTCCCAAAATCCTCAAAGTGAGGAAATGTTACAAAGATACATAAGTTAACCTTCTAAAAGCAGCAAAATTTCTTATGGTTTGCAGAGGACAGCGAAATACCCCAGGTCTGTATTTCTCTGCTACACAGCTTCTGGTTGCTGGCTGGTGTTCTATCACACTTTGTTACAAAACTACAAAACTCTGCCTCTTGCTGCAGTCTAATAATTTTAATCTCTCATTAAACTACTTTTGGAAGTTTAAGATAGTTGTCTTTTAACACTGCATTAATCAGCTACTATTCTATTCCCAGTTGCACACTCAGCATAGTTTCTGCAAAAGGAAGTTCTGATCTTTTATGTATTATAGATGAAATGAGTTTGCCTGCTACAGGTCAGCAGTCTCCTCTTTGGTACTTCTGAGGCTTTCCCAAATTAGCAAAAACTACGCTCTCATTAGAAGCTGGTTCTGAAGAGGGAGGCTCATAGAGTTGATAACTGATGACCTTTAAAAAGTTTTGTTTGTTCCAGCACCTTTTCTGAACTTCACCAATGCCTTTAGTCCTGCTTGCTAAATATTAAACCTGAGCAGAAACCCCCTACTGCTGAATTTCTACACACCACAGGGGGGCAAATGTTGAAAAACACCAAAACACTTGTGCATGGAAAGGCCTGTTCCTGAGGCAGAGCCACAAATATTATTGTCAGCACTTACACGTGACTAAAAGCAGTTATAAAGCTCCCAATCCACAAGGCACACAGGTCATAGCACTGCTTTTTTTTCCACTCCTCAGAAACCAAGAGGAAGCCTAAGACTGAGAATTATTTTTTATCCTAAAAGTAAATGAACAAACAAAAGGTCTGCTGCTTCTCTCTCTAGTCATATGTATGAAAGGGAATTTTGTGCCTAATGAGCTCATCGTAATGCTAAGATTTAGCTGTAAGTTTACTTCTTAAGTAATTAAAACCAAAAAAGCTGCTATTTCAAGCACTTTGTACTTACAGTTTCAGTCGTCTTTTTCTGAGTTACATCTACTTTGAGTAACTGGGTTTCAGCCCAGCAGAAATTGTGTGAAGTCTGCATTATTTGAAGATGTTGGTTGTGGGGAGCTCCTAGACGAATATGAGGGGACACCAGTGCCAGCACCTTCCTAAATCCTGGCTGCAGGGTGCCATGTTGTTTGTGAATGGCAAGGGAAGGGAGCGGGTTTGATGTGGTGTGTTGGAAAGAGCTGAACTGACCCTAAAAAGTGAGGGTCTCTGCCCAAGGAGAGCTTCCAGAAATAACCACTGAAAGGTGGCTCTGTCATTTTCCTTATATCAAATGGACCGACTTCTAATCATCTACGTGCTCGTGCAGCGTTCTCTCTTGCTCCAGCTTTTGATAACCATCTTTCACACAGACATTTGCCCTGTGCCAATAACCCTACTAAGATGTTTAGGCAAATTACACACGAAACCACTTCTGTTTGCGCAGGTAACAAGCGGCAGAGGGGTGTGGTGCTGGTTGTGCTGAGAGAATCACACTGAACAGCACCAACACCTACAGAAAACAGGCCCTCGCTGCACACCTGGCAAAGAACACTGACGGGAGCGGTGCCTCCAGGGACACCAGGGGGAATAGTGCTCTGGTGGCACCTCCATAGCAAAGCAAAGACAGGGGTGGCAGGTTTTCCTAGAATCATAGAATGGTTTGGTTGGAAGGGACCTTAAAGATCATTGAGTTCCAAGCCCCCGCCAGGGGCAGAGACACCTCCCACTAGACCAGGTTTTGTCTGTAAATCCTTCTGAAGCACACCACAACCACCGGATTTGCTCTGACGGCTCTGCACCAAAGCTTCTCAGCAGGAATGGTGTAACCTTATGCACACCTGGAAGTTAGCAAAGGTGCAGCGACACTCAAATATCAGACAAAGTCCACATAAACCTCACACAGGGTCTCAGCTCCTGAGAAGGAGTGTTCTCCCAGGTCCTGCACACTGGACAGAAGCACTTGGTGTTCCACCAGGCACCGGAGTGGGTGAGCTCCCTGCTATGTAAAGACAAACAGATGTGGTTTTTTGTGCAAATTTATATTTGCAGCACAAGTTTAACATTTCCCCTCAGACACTGGTGTAAATGCTTTAGCTCACTCACACCAAAGTATGCAATGGGGGAGCAGTTCGGAAACTTCCTAAAAAGCAAAATAAAACAGATTTCTATTTGAAACAAACCTTACAACGGCGTAACTTCTAAGCACAGAATTAACAGTGTCTAGAGGCAGAACAGCTGCAGGACGATATGGAAAAGCAAAAAAGGAAAATAGAAAGCTAACTGTGGTCACAGCTTATGCTGAAACCCCTGTTACATACACACAGCTTGAGTCACCTACAAGCTTGGGACCTCTTTTGTGAAGACAGAGACGTTTCTAATGCAATGAATTTCAATCACTTAGCAAACATTAAGTATGCAATAACTCTGTTACAGAAGTCAGTACTAGTTACTCATTGTGATACAGGTGCATGGGAAGACACAAACACCAGTCTACCTGCAAGAGGATGCATAAATAAAACAAAACTTTTACTAGGTCATGTCCATGTGGAACAAGAATCCCCATCTCCCCGAATCACCCAGGCCAGCAGGTCCCTCTCTCTGGGAAGATTTCTTACACCAAGAAATAAATAAGCTGAACTATCTCCATCTGTCGTGACAGTTCATCGTTGTCAGGGCAACAATCTGAAAACCAGAGCTTGACTCACAGTATCAGGGAACACAGCCCTTACCTGCCACAGAGGAGGCAGAGACTGGGGCTTTCATCCAGGATGAAAAAAAAACACCCACAAAAAAGGAAAGCAGCTTTTCTCCGCTTGGCGAGCTAACCACCTCCACAGGGGTCCCCACAGCTTCCACTTAACCCAGGACAACGAAACCCAAGTTGCCTCCACATTTTACCACCTCTGAGCATAAAAGAGCACTTTGTAAGCTGAGGAAACGGTACAGGTTAAGCAACCGTAACAGGTTTCCAGGCATTCTGTTAATCACTTCCTTCCCGTAAGCGCACGTGGAGCACGGGCCGCACACGGCATCACCCACCCCGTTAACGCCAGCGCCGCTCTGTCCAGGCGACGGTTCCTCCCTTCCTCAGATCCCACCTCGCTGTGGTTGCCACGATTGCAGCCACCCAACGGCAAACACGGCTGCTGTACTTCATGGGAGGGAAAAGAAAACTGCTTTTTTAGATAATGGATCCAACAGACCCATGAGTAATCAGAGTGGTTTTGTTCCTGCAAGGAGCCTCCCTTTCATTTGATAAAACCCCACGGAAAAGGGCATGTTTCTTCACACCTCTGCCCCCGCCCAGGCACAGGGGTTTGTGCACAGGTTGGTGTGAAGCTCACTCCCCAACAGCAGACTAAAAGCAGCAGTTTGCCTTGCTCCTCCTGAGCAAACAACAGGCTCATGCCAAGTGAGTAACACTCCCATTCACACCTAAGGACCAAAGCTAGAGGTGATCCTTTCTAAAGAAGCTCATGGATCTATCCAGATACTTCCACACATCTGCTCCACTCTGGCATTCCTTTCCTCTATCTTCATTTCTGCAATAATGCTGCTTTAGATGTTTCTCTCCCTATTTTCCTTCCCCCATTCTGCTTCAAATGTGTTTATTTTACCCTGAATTGGCAGGACCAGTTTCTAATTTCATTTTCCACTAATGCCAAAGGCGTTCAAGATTTCATTCATAACACAATTTGCATTTAGCTGTGCTCCCACTCCCAGCTGCCCCCACCCCTCCTGTTCATGCCTTCCGAGCTTCACATAGTACAACCAGACCTCTAAGGATGGCTCTTCCCGAATCCCGCCTGTGTTCTGAGCTGCCCATAGCTTTGGGGCTGGTCTGTCAGCTTCATAAAGTCCCAGACCTGTGAGGTTTTGGCAACTGGAAGGACTTTGCTATATTTCAAGATTCAGTACTCATCCTACAGAACCAGTCCACAGCAGAGCCAAAAGAAATTGTGGCTAGATATGCCAAGCTTTGATCATAAATATATTAATAATCATCCTCAGTGGTTCCATTAAATTTGCTGAAACTTTTGCAATATGGGCACAGAATTTTCCTCCCAGCAAATGATGTAGAATAAAATATGTGTTTTGAGACAATTGCCAGTCACTCGTGTTGCTGCTGGCTGCCAAAAAATTCACCTTTTCAAGTTTTCTTATTGTCTTCATTTGAGTCCACAGCAGCCACCCACGTAAGAGCAAACCTGCCCACACTTCATACTGTCCAGGAAATCAGCAGGAATTAGCAGGAGCATCTCATCCACCCGTTTAAGCTGCCCTGAAAACTCCCTCTTCGATGAGACAGCACAGATCGTTAGAACCACTTACAGCTCAAGAGAAAACATGCGAATTAAAATCAATGTAACTCGTGCACTGGCAAAGGGGTGGGAAGCGGTCCAGGAAAGATCTCACTCTTGTCATTCCCCATTAGGAGATCGTCCCTTCGAAGGACGGAGTCTCTGGAATCTCCACTAATCTGGAATCCCCGCTAATGCCATTGCGTAAGTGGCTGAGGGCCGGGTCACAGGCGGGGTACGGCACCCCCTGCTCACCCTGTCCCTCTCCCACCCTCCTGCAGCAACTCCCACCCCAGCAGAAGGTGCAGCTCCTGCTGCCCAGCCCCTAACTGCCCCCACGCTGGCTCCACGTCAAGGGAGCGCATCCACAGCTCTCTAACGTTATACAACTGTTTACACACTCTATGAAAACATTTTATCTTCTTTTATGAGACATTATCTGCCCGTCCGTGGCGATTTATACACTTCCCTCCCAGGCCATTTCTAAATCATCTGGAATCAAGAGCGTAAGTGGAAAGGCCTTCTTTAATTTACAATCTGAGCAATTGCTTCCAGGAATTGGGAGCCCAGAGAAAAGATGCTGTTTTCTAGGTATGTCTGAATTTACCAGGTTTCTTCCCCAAGAACTCATAACTCAAGATCAACTTAGTAAAGGACCCCAATGATGAAGACCGTGACGCTTCCCCTCCACACCAGACCCCGGTCAGCACGAGCAGTGCACAGGATGCTGATTCCAAACGCCACTGTCCAGACACAAGGCAATGGATAAATTCCTCTTTTTTTGCCTTAAGAGCAGCACTGGTTACCCTGTGCTCCCAAGGAGAGCTCCAGAAGCCACCTGGCAGCCATCCCTCTGCTTTAGGCCATGCACAAGGGGTGCAGCCTGAGCCCCCGCTCACCGGCGCCCCGGGACCAGCCTGCCTGGCCCCCAGAGGAGGTGGCCGGGCCCAGGCCCCTGAGCATGGCGGTGCCGGGCTGCTGCCCCACACCCTCCCCGGGGAGAGCCCCGCTTGCCCCCACGCAGGGCGGCCTCGCCTCTGTGTGAGCTGCGCCCTGTTTACCCTCCCACTTCCTTGTTCCACTTGGGCACGAGGGCCATAAACCGCCCGGCTGGCACGGCCGGGCCCTCGGCGGCACGGGCAGGAGGAAGAGGAGGGAGGAGGATGGCAGCCAGCCCCCTGCTCCGCCGCGCCAGGAGGGCACCCCGGGTGCCACCGTGGTGGTTGGGAGCGCAGCCCTGGCCCTAGGGCTGGCCACCCTCATGCCCGCTGGCCAGCCTCATGCCGGATCCCGGGGAGGTGCCAGTGTCCTGGTTTGAGGAGAGGAGAACGGAGAAGAACAAGACCTACTTCTCCTTCTTATCGGACTTCAGGGGCCACAACGCGACGGCCCTGCGGGTGGGCGAGTCCTCTGCCCTGGCCTTCATCTTCCTGCTGGCCTTGGTGGGAAACATCTGGGGCATCTGGCTGCTGGTGCGGCGGCGGTGCCGGCTGCGCGCCGCCAACTGCCTGGTCCTCAACCTCTTCTGCGCCGACCTGCTCTTCATCACCGCCATGCCCTTCATCGCCGTGGTGCGCTGGACCGAGTCCTGGCTGCTGGGTGACACCGTCTGCCACATGCTCTTCTACCTGGTGGGCCTCAGCGGCACCGTCATCATCCTCTCCCTCTCGGCCGTCAGCCTGGAACGCTTGGTCAGCATCGCCCGCCTGCGCCAGGCCGCCCTCCGCCGCCCCAAGGCGCTGGCCGCCGCCCTCCTCCTCATCTGGGCCTTGGCCGCCGTCGCCACCCTCCCGCTCTGCTGCTTCTTCTGCGTGGTGCGGCTGCCCGCCGCCGCCGGGCAGGTGAGGGCAGGGCCCCGGCGGGGCGGGAGGAGGGCTCGGGGGGCTCGGCCGCCGCCGGGCAGGTGAGGGCAGGGCCGGCGGGGCGGGAGGAGGGCTCGGGGGGCTCGGCCGCCGCCGGGCAGGTGAGGGCAGGGCCGGCGGGGCGGGAGGAGGGCTCGGGGGGCTCGGCCGCCGCCGGGCAGGTGAGGGCAGGGCCGGCGGGGCGGGAGGAGGGCTCGGGGGGCTCGGCCGCCGCCGGGCAGGTGAGGGCAGGGCCGGCGGGGCGGGAGGAGGGCTCGGGGGGCTCGGGGCGCTCGCCGGGGCAGGCCGCTGCCGGGACCCCCCGGCGGGGCAGCCGCCCCCTCCCGCTTCCCTTCCGTCAGATCGGCCGGGTTTTAGGTGGGTTTTGTTTTGCATCCCCCTCGCGCAGCTGGGAAATCCCCTTTTCAGCAGTTTTTTTCCCCAGCCGAGGGCCGCCCCCCAGCGCCCCGCCGCTGCCCGGCCTCTGAGGGGAGTGGGGCGGCCCCGTCGGGCCCGTCCTTTGCGGTGCGGCCAGAAGTGCCCCGCACAGCACACTCGGACACCTGACCCAGTTGGAGGTCTATAAGTTTCAATTTTAAAGTTGCCGTCAGCATTGGATGCGAAATTTATGGCAATATTTACCTTGTGGACAACACCCCTACCGGTAAGTGTGTGGGCTCCACAGAGCGCGAGACTGGCGCGCGCCCTGAGGGGGCAGCTCTCACCCAGGCGGTGCCGCGGCCCTTCTCTCTGTAGGAGGAGAACTTTGTGGTAAAAATACCGGCAGAGCGTTGATTTTCTCCTGTATTCTTTACAAACAGGAGATGCAGATCTGCACCTTGGTGTGGCCCAGCATCGGAGGAGAAATAGCCTGGGACCTCACCTTTACCATTGTTTTCTTTCTGGTGCCGGGGCTGCTCATCATCATCAGCTACTCCAAAATCCTACAGGTGGGGTGTCCCCTCACGGTTTGCTGCCGAGCAAAGGGGAGTGAAGCCTCACTCACTGGGCACCAGCCCGTTGTCACTGAGCACCCGTCCAGCCCCAGGGGACAGGCGCTGTGTGCTGGGTACCCGGGGGGGCTGTGGTACAAATGGGGGTGCCCCGGCAGGGGCCTGTGTGCTGAAACCCCGCCTGGGCAGCACAAAGGCTGTCTCTTCGTCTATATGTAGTATTTAATACACTTCTCCATGTATCTGCTGTTCAGTATTTAATACACTTCTCCATGTATCTGCTCCATGTATTTAAAGACTGCTCCATGTATTTAAAGACTGACAATCTCCCAAAGGCTAAAAGAGTCAAGCATTTGAAATAACTAAAAACCAGGTTTTGCTTTCTTCGAACTTAAACTCCAGAGTCACAAGGGATTTGTAAGAAAGCAAAGGAAGGTGGGACTACAAAAAATCCATCTCCTCTTAGATCCACTGATTTTCTGCACCTGTTTTTAGTACACAGATCTCCTTAGATTACACTTATTCCTCCACAATTTCAAACATTGCAAACAAAACCTGTGAATTAAACACTTTGCTTCCACTTTCCTTCTGAGTGGCTATTGTTTAATTGCTGAAATGCAGGCCAAGGTACCACGTACCACAGAGTTTTCATCTATATTCTAGCAAGCATGACGCTGGTTACCTAAATTCCTTTTGAAATGCCTGATTTCATACCCCTTCCTCTTCCAAATGCAGAGCATCCGTTGGGATTCAGTGTTGTGCCTAATGACGTGCCGTGAATACGACATTCCCAAACTCCCCTTACTCTGCCTTCTTACAGCTCGTACAGGACATAGATTTCCATGGTGACTAAAGGAGCTGTAAGATTTCAGGTTAGCTCATAGAAAGCAATTCTGATTACTGACTGAAAACCTAAACCTTTACACAAAACAATGTAAAATCCTATTCACATTTAAAATGTGTAATGATTTAGTTACTGTAATTAAGTTCATCCTCCTTCTGGTACCTACCTCATATCATCAGCGCGGCCACAGAGAATTGGATGGCATTCCTTCTTTTGCATCAGCAGGATTGTTAACTATGTGCAGTTCACATTTGTGAAAAAAAATCAATGGGTTTATTTAGATAGAACAAATCAGGTCATAATTTGAAGTTAATGGGATTTCATGAGTAATTAAGGCTCTGTTTTATGGTGAAAAGTATGTATGGCTGGTAGAGATCCATGAGCAGAACAACCAGCTTGACTAATGCTGAGGTGAGTTCACAGCTGAAGACAAATAATGCTAATAAAGTGATAAAGTTTGAAATGGAACCATTGAGAAAAAGTAAAAGTGCCTTTTTTGTAGTCAGTTTTCACAACAGAAGCATCACAAGTGACAAGATTTACTTTTGTACTTGTGATAATGTGTTAGCAATTCTTCTGGGTGTCAATGAAAGTTACTTTCTTCTCTGTTCCTACAGATTACAAAGGCATCAAGAAGGAGTTTAAACGCTGGTTTAGCCTACTCGGAAAGTCATCGGGTTCGAGTTTCCCAGCAAGACTACAAACTATTCCGAGCCCTCTTTGTGCTGATGATCTCTTTCTTCATCATGTGGAGCCCAATTATGATAACTATTCTTTTAATTTTAGTCCAAAGTAACACAGAAGATTTCAAAATTTCACCATCAGTTTTCTTCTGGATAATCCTATTCACTTTCGCCAACTCTGCTCTCAATCCCATTTTGTACAACATTGCCCATTTCAGACGGAAGTGCCAGGAAATCTTCCTCTGTTGCACGAGGAGCCCCGCGGGGCACGGGGCTGGCATAGACAGCACTGCAAGAAGAAGTAACCAGGAACAACCACCTCTCTTTTTCATCACCAGATAATCATTTAACTGTCCACCTACACTGTCCCAGGCTGAATAGGTCACTGTGTTATATTATTAAATGCCAGAGAAGGGGAAAAAAAGAGTGAAATCTGTATTTTTAATTCTTGCAGGTAAAATTCTCTTGGCCTGGCTGCTTTGCCTCAGTAAGATTTGGACAATTTAATCCAATGGACTGAATTCTCCACTTACACTGAAATAAATAGGAACATGGCAGTGAACCTGGTGAATGTAAAATAGTTTAAATAAGTACTTACCAGAGGAATTAATTTCTATGAGGGTACATTTTCAGTTGGCATCAATGTCATTAACTTTAATGAAGTTACAGAGAATCTATATTAAGAGGGCACCTGATCCATTTTTACTCTGTTTTCTATTAAGAGAGACCAGCTTTCTAGTGAAAATGTACCTCCTCAGAGAGTATCTGCTCTTTTTCTCAATCCCCTTTACAAAAGGCACTCAGATAACCACCTGCCTGAATGGAGATTTGGGCAGAGTAACCCATAGCGTGTAGGAAACAGGATGATAAACATCTATTATCACCAAGTAAATGAGTAATTTGGTTCCATCCCAAGTTAAAAATATGGACATAATGCCTGTTAATTTATAAATAAAGAATAAATGTTTACTTGTCATAAAATAGGTTTTTAAAAAATATGCGTATTTTTTATGTCTTCAGCGTCGTACAATGAAGTTAATCAGTGACATATAGGGTCACTGAAATTCCTTCCTTCTTTCTGAAATGCTACTGGGAATGATTTTAGGTATTTCCTAGAAAAAGGTGACACTGTATTTGAAAATAAAAGTTTTAGAAAGCAAATAGATATATATTTAGGTTTGTGTGGTTTTGGTTTTTTTAATTAAAACTCCTTGAGACAGAAATCGAAACCTCTAAAAAAAGAAAGATTAAATTCTTAATTATTGCTATCTGTCACCAATTCAAACTAGTGCATTAAGATAGCGGTTTACTAATAAACCCGATGTCCACATAGGTACAGATGTGCATGCAAACAATTGGCATCCCCTGCAATCCAAGTTTATTAAAATGTTTCATTGGTTTATTAACAAGGTGAGCGAGACAGCTCAGATAAATATACCCAAAATCTAAATGAAGCCTTTTGAAAGGTTTCCAAGAGAATACCCGATCAGTGTGTTAACTTTACATCCATGGGGCTGTTACGTGGTTTCTTTCCACAGTTTTGGATCTCCTTAAGAGCAAAATCCTGAAACACACAAAAAACCCAAAATGTTGTTTTTCAACCACACATAAGGAATTAAGTGAGTTCTGTAAGAGTTTCTGATACAAAGCTTTCAGTAAATGGCTGTTTCAGTTTAGCTGACATTCCTGCATTCCCAAAAGCACTTGCTTTGCAGGAACTTGGCTTCATGATAGTGGAAAATTCAGAATCAGCCAACACCATGGTAATTACAGGTCCTGACCACAGCAAGGGGAAAAGGCAAATTGCTGGCTTTCCATTTCTTTTTCATTTACAGACATTATGGAACTCACGTAGTCTTACCAGACACTGCACTCAGCACCTACCACCTGGATGGATGCTAGACAGCAGAGAGTACAGCACTCAGCAACTTGTTAGATTAGGTATTTCTGTAACTAACCACAGACACTATCATCAACTTTTAAATTAAGATTAGGTGGTCAAAGAATATTTAAGGCTGAACATTCAAAAGACATTCTGAGCTTTTAGTTTAAAATTACACTATTGGATCTATATGCTGTCAAAGAAGCATTGGATTACATAGAAGTTCTGAGATGTTTGAAAAAGTTGTATCACAAACTATGAATAAATTCATATATTCTGTTTTTCTTTTTCCTTATACTTCCTTGCAAAGGTTGACAATACATTTCTTGTTTTGGAAGCCTCACAGAGTGTAGAAATAATAGAAACACAGATTCCACCATGTTGAATCAGACCAGTGCTTGGACTTACCCAATATCCTGATTTTACTTTGTGTAGGTTTGCCAGAAATGCCAAGAACCACCATAACACCCCCCTCAAAGTCACACTGAACAGCTGTGCATCCACACTTCATCTTAGATTTAATCCAAACCCATCCCTAATCATCTCATTATTTTATTCTCTCATCTTCAGAAATCTTTATTCCTGCTATACTCCATTTGAAGAGTAGGGAATGCAGCATTCAAAACAAGGAAGTATCAACAATTTATATAATGACATTGTTTCTTTTCTATCCTGCCCTTTACGCAACCATACACATCGTTCACAAAAGCCAATTTCATTTGCATTTCTGACGTCTCTTAGTCCTGACTGCCTCTAATCTTAGCTGTCTTTTGTCTCCAAATTCTCATTCAGGACAAAAATCTCATTTTTGTTGTTGTCAGGCACTTTTTCCAGGTCACTAATCACTATTCCAAACACCTCCCACCTCAGCAGAGCTTCCAGGCAGCTGGTTATCAGCAAACCTACTTTACAACATGGCGATATCTCACTCTCTGTTTAGAGATCAGATGAGCAGGTAATAGAGCCACAGGAGCTGACTGTGCTCATCTGTTCTGACTTTCTTTATAATACACAAAAGTTCCTTCAGTCAATCCCAGTTTATTCTAACATGTCGTTTAGAAAAGCCTTTAATCTTGATTTACAGATTTCAGTGATGAAGAGCATACAACAGCTCTTGGTAAACTGGTCCAAAGGTTAACGACCTTTGGAGTCAAACAAATGGCTATTTATTTCTGCTCTCAATGTGTCCAGTTTAAAGTTCCATCCATTTTAATTTATTATTCCTATGTTTGCAAGTCCTTCATTATCCAGTTCCCTTTGCTTGTGTGGGCAAGCACAGCCCTTACTCAGGGCAGCCCCTTAACCCCCTTCTGCTGAGAACAGATCAAGGTCTTTGAAGTACTCACTAGAGGACACATTTTACAAACTTTCAATCGTTTTCTCTGCTCCTCTTTGAAACTCCTGATTCACCCTCAGTACCCTTTCCAGTGGTGGTTACCATCAAACGTGATATAGCAAGCAGGCCTGTGCCAAGCACGACAGTCTCACCCAAGTCTGGAAATTCATCTTTTGCATCCTCGGGCTCTCTGCCCAAGGATCACAGTAACTCTTTGGCCGCAGCATTGCCTTGGGAGCTCACCTCCAGCTGGCTCACCACCAGGGATGGGTGCCCTACTCTTTTATTTGTCCTAAGTATTCTGATCTGTCTTCTTCGTTCTTTACCATTCCCCACTCTGGGTGTAATCTTTACCAGGAAGCGTATTACGTTTTCCTCAGATCACTGATTAAAGTAGTATAAATTACCATTTTGCCTTTTCTAATATACCTGAGCTCAAGTGAGCTAATCTGTGTCCTTCCCCACGTTGTAAGCTCAGCCTGACTGCATGACTGCAGGTGGGGTCACACTGCAGTATGAGGGACACGTCCCTCTTCCACAAGCCTATGTGAAACAGTTGGCATGTGGACCTGGGAGAAAGGACCTGATATAAGGTACCCTTTCCAGGACTTCTGATTCTCCTTAAAAGCCTTTTATGAAGAATTTTTCAAAGAAGTTTTTGAAAATATGTTCTATTCCCTTCAACAACTATTTTGTTGCAAAAGGCAGAGAGTTGTGATTAAAGAGACACAATTTCTCTTTACAGCAATTATGAAGTTTATCCTTACTATGTTTACTCATACTACATTGATTTAATTGTTTTACAACTTCCTATGATTATTGTTCCAGCTGATGTGATACACCGCTTAAAAAGCTATACACCTTAGCTCTCCTTCAGATAAGGGAAGTAAAAGTGAGAAATAACTTACTACAAGCTCCAGCTTTCAAAAGCAGCCACTTAGTAAAAGATTTCATGCACTTGCTATTTAATAAGCATGAGAGTCCCAGTGCTTTTGTCATTAAGCCCTGAAATAAAATTCTTCCGAAAAAAATGTTCTTACCATTATGAACGATAACTCTGTATTTTCTGTCCAAGCAGAGGTCCATCTGCCTTTGTCTGACAATTTTCTGTGCCTCTGGGGGCAATCCCTTGGGGTCGCGGGAGAACACGAAGGAGTAGCTATCGGCACAAGTACCATCTTCGTTTAGTTGGCGACAGGAGTAATGAAGAGCGTAGGTATCATAATCTGTGTCCACTACCCAGTGATCATCATCTGGAAGACACCATAGCAAAGAAGGAAAGGTGTTAGAGACACAAGTAAAATCCAGTAAATCTAAAGAGATTGCTGCCATAACTCTGTAAAGAAAATAATAGGGTGAAGATTGGTATAAATGATAACAGAGGAGTTCTTAGTTTATTCCTGTGTCCAGTACTACAGTAGCTACCATGAAGTACAAAGAAAGTTTTCCTATTTTAAGCAAAAAAGTGTAACAGTCAGACAGAAAATAGTTTAAAAAATTAACAGAGAAGCTAAATGTGCTCTTGGTCATGCTATTCATGCTGCAGATTACTCAAATCCATAACTATTTTTCTAACTAGGGATATTATTTAAATTGCATTTTTAAGGAGAAAGATTATGATGCAGTTGCCATGTGCATTAGGAATGTATTTGCTACAAGCTCTATCATATACCTTCTTCTCAAAACACAATGACAATTTCAGAGAATTCTTAACTCTTTAGCTAGGTACCCTGATAACCACCCTCTCCCCCAGCCTCCCTGTGCTAACGGAACTGAACCCAGTATCTGCAGTAAAGAGCCTGGTCTCTGCACCCTCCTCTCCAGGAGCAAAGATCCCCCTCGCACTACGGCTGCACTGCCTGTTCCCCTCCCCATCCCTCCCGTGGGCACCACAGCTTGCAGAAAGCAGAGTCTGGGTCAGCCGTGATCTCCTGTCCCTGGGAACAGGACTTGGCAGCAAGCTGTGAGGAGATCCAGCAACAGCTCAAGAGCAACAGGCAGCCAAAGCATTCTTTGTAAATGTGGTTTTGGAGAGCACAGAGCTCCAACCACTTCCAAATTCCACCTGCTTCTCTTGGAAACAATCCAGGGAAGTGTCTTGAGCAACAAGTATCTAAATCTCTACTTGGCTCAATAAACTAATTTTGCGTAGGGTGTGACAGATGACAGGAAAAAAAAAAATACATATATACTGGATCATATTTGTTTCTCAAACCAGATAAATCTCTACATTCGCAGATATCAGACCAAGCAAAATAACAATTGCAAAATCCTCTTCCCTGCTCAACCAAGTTTGATGTAAGACTTTTCAGAGAGAATAAAAGCACTGGTAACTGAGTTCTGAACTAAAACAAGACTTAAAATTCTTTCTCTGCCTTTCGTTTCTTTCCAAACAGTGACCTTTGATTATACTGTTGGGTAACAAACAAAAGAAATACAAAGATAGACAAAGACCTGGGCTTCATTTGTTTAAAGAAAGCCAACCATCTGTTCCATATAAAAATTAGTGATTACCCTGTTCTCAGTAAGGCTTTCCTGTATAAGAGTTATTGTGTGTCTCGAGTGTGTTTAAGAAATCCAACACTACTTTTTCCTTTCCCAGCACAGGCACACAGCGTAACTAGGCCCCCAAGTAGTTCTGCATCTTCTCTACCCAAGTACTCACTTCCTTTCTGCAGAAAAGAGGCAACACCCCAGTACTTCATCTTGAACTTGGCGGGATCCTCTGTGTCAGTGAAGGAACCGATCATGTCAGCGCAGACGTCCCAGTTACTGCAGCCAGAGAGACAAAAAACACCACGTTCAGAACTAAGAGCAGAGAGTCAGTGTGTGACCAGCACAGGGACAGCAGGCAGGGTCAGAGCACCAGTGAGCGAAGCAGAAGCTAAGTGAAACGGAGCAAGAGGAAGACTGCAAAGAACTGACTTGAAGAGCCTGACTCTGCCCTTTGCAGTGGCAGTCATTTGTCCGTTCTCGTCAACGGTGAACTGGGCCACCACGTTGTCCTGCAGAAACAGCCCCTCGGGGTCCTTCTTTGCCATGGCGTACCAGGTGCCGCTGTACTGCACGGGAACAAGAAAGGCTGCAGTTAGACCGAGAAGGACAGAAACCCCTGCAGACAGACACTGCAAACTAGGGCAGGTGACAGAGGGGGGGACATGCAGAGCTTGGACACCGTGCCTCAAAGCTGTACCGAGGAAAGAAACCTAGTGTTCCAACAGCACAAACCCACTGTGTCCTACTGCAGCCAGCTTGGTGAAAGAATTGACATTTTTTTGGCATCTTATTTGTATCTGCAGTTCTCCCGTATTTAGAATACAAAATTTGGTGGGAAGAGGATAACAACTGGCAGATCCTGACAGATCTCTGTAGAAATGTTTTTTCCTTGCAGTGATGCCCAAAAATACCAAAGTATTAATTTTCACAGAATCACAGAAAATTTTCATAGAAACAACCAAGTCACTACACTCCTTTTCTGTTTAGAGCATACAGTTTGAGACCAGTCTGCTAAACCTCAGGTTCTGCAGTACTCCTTTATCAGATGCATCAGGGTCCAACATTTGTGGAGGTGTGAGCAACATCACACACTTCTACTGCTTCTCAGTATTGCAGTCTGTGACTTCGAATGAAAACAAGAACACATGGCTGCTACTGAATGCCAGATTTAGTAGCGTGGGAAGAGGAGTCAGGCAAGACACCACAGATCCAGGAGAGAAAGGAGATTTACCCTGTTCTTGTCGAAGTTCTCCTTGACTCTGAAGCTGCTTACTCGGCAGTCCCGCTCGGCCGTGCTGCTGCCCAGCAAGGCCAGTGCCAGCAGCAGCAGCCAGGGAAGAGCTCTCTCCGCATGGGCCATCCCGTCCCTGTAGCAAGGGCAAACAGAGAGAGAACAGCATCAGAGACAGGCTCTGTCACACAAGCAGGTAAGGGAGGAAGGCTGCCCTGACAGGTCTCCAGGGCATCCTGCAGCTTCCCCTGATGCGTGCGCAGTGAAGGCACCCGACGGTCCCCAGCCCCCCACGGCAGTGTCCCTTACAAGTGGTGCCGGTCCCTGTGGCCTCCCGAGAGCCCGAGCGTTGGTGGCGGTGGCGGGGCGCCCGGACTGGGAATGCTTTATGTAGCCCTGGGGCTTTCGCAACTCCCTGAGGCACAAAGCCGGGCCTGGAGGGGGGTCGGGAGGCGGGTGGTGCAGCTGCAGGCTGGGGCCCCTTCCCAACAGCCTCTTGCGTAAGTGCCGTGGGCTCGGGGGGTCTTTGACCCTGACCTGCAGCCAGGCAGGTGCTAGCAGCACATGCCTCTTTCTTTTCCTAACCCAAAGGCAGAGCTCACATCTGGGGAGGGGGTGTTGCACATGTGCACCCACATGGGTGGGAAGCACAAAGGCAAAGGGAGGCACCCCATCTCTGCAGGGGGGACAGCAAGCCACCTCCACCTCCTCCGTGATTGTACACACCACGGTCCAAAGTCCTTCTTACCCAACGTGCTCAACCCAGGTACAAGATGCAAACTTGTTTCCTTCACCTCCTCCCCAAATTCCTTTCCTCTTTTCCCCTGATAAACAGCGGCAAACATCATACTCACAAGTTCCTGCTAATGTTCCTGAAAGCCTGGTGGTGCCAGAACCTCCCCAGGTCCCCATGACCGGTTCCTTCTTGCTTCCCCGAGGCTGGCTGTGGTGCTAACCCATCTCATGGTCCCGGGGTCAGGAGCTGGGGCCCTGCAAATCGTCAGGGAGGCAAAAGAGCACGTTGTGTGGTGTTGCAAAGGTGTCAGGAGATACGTATGGTTGGCAAATACCCAGCTGTGTGTACGCACCACATCTGGCCCTTCTGGCATCAATTTTAAATCGCAGCTTCCAGAATTTCTATTCTGTTTTTGGCAAACTGCTTTCAGTTACATAAACCATTATTGTTTTCTCCTGTTCAGGCAAGTTTTGCTGCCTCTCAGTCAATATTTGTTCTATAGTTTCAACATCTTTAGGAAGCATTAGAGAAAACCTGTTAATTATTTTCTAGACATGTAGCCAGAGCAGGATAGGAATGAAGAGAACTAATTCACCTACTTTTTTCACCTCCCAATTTTGAAAGAATAAAGGCAGAAGCTTGTTAGTTGAAAGGTCGGCGTTCGTTGCTTTAAGAATTAAGCAAAAATATAATTTAAATATGGAGATACCGATGTAGTATTAAAAAATCTTTCAATAGTATCTATTCCTGTAAAATTTTGTCAATAGCACAATTACCCATGAAAATTCTATGGCAGAGGTTTCCAAAGGAATCTACAGTCACTCATGCAAATGAATCAAAACCTGTTGAGATTGGACCACCTCTGACACCCTGGGTCAGCAGCCCCATTACTCTTACTGCATGTTGTCCTCAGCCGTTTCACAGACAGCAGACCAATCCAGCTTTCACCAAAACAGCAATTTACTTCTGTTAATTATTTTTAATAAGATCAGTTGTAAATACATGCAAAGGCCATTACAATATCTTAAATTAATCTGAGGTCATCAACAAAAATAAATTAGAAACATTTAATTTTGTACTAGCCACCTGAGCCACAGTTTACATTAAGGAAGTCCTTTTGCAGATGGAGCTAAAGCAGTTCCTTGGTTCAATGAGAGCAGGTTTTTAGGCCAAACGGGTCCCCTGTGAAGGCAGCCACAGCCAGATGGGAGCGTTGGAGCCAGGATGGAAGGCTGCTGGCAGACTGGCTTTGCTCTGGCGAGTCAAGGGTGAGCTTTTTTCTCAGTCCTAACAGATGTAGCTATGCCAGCACAACTATGTCAACTCATAAACAGTGTAAACTTTGCCTCAGTTAATCATCATTTGGATTGACTTGGGCTACGGGTTCAGCTGCGAGATGATGCCAGCAAGTGATCCTCACCCAGGTGTTTGGAACCTGCGTGTACTCCTTGCAGACCTGTACTGCTAATGCTAACAGAGAGGAACGGAATTTGGGCCAGGAGCCCAAATGGTTCTGAGAGCAATCTGCGTAGATCAAGTCAATGGCATCAAATGATTGCTGGATTCTGGGAAAACTCAGACAATTAAGTATAAAAGAATTATTAAAATACTGATAACACATAAACATGCAAATAACCTCTAATGTAAAGCACACATTTACAAAACGTCTTAAATTCAACACTAAGCTTGATAAATTTCGTATATGACTTCCCATTCTGATATTTGAAGCTGGCAGCATATTTTGAGCATCACAGAAAGTTTTTTAAAAGCCATTATGTATTTCTTGGAGCTGTGTTTAATTGAAGGGGGGAAAAAGTCTTCTACCTTTGAATTTTGCCAGGAGGCCAAAAAAGGGGCTAACTTCTGGCAGCGTTTCTGTGATTGAAGTATTTTTTACATTAATAGCCCGTAAAATTCTGCAATATTTTCCAATAGGAATAGAAGCAGAAAACACACAGAAAAGGTCAGATTTTCAAAGGGAATGGCAGAAAAGAGCTTTCATTGTAGAAGTTATTTTAGTTTCATTTATGACATAATAATAAAAAGGAAAAAATTAGAGTCAAATTACTATTTAAAACATTTTTAACAGTGCAACATTGAAGCTTTAAATATTAAAAGAATTACAATTTTATTTGCAGCCACAAGAATCAGTCTATCTCTTAGGAGAAAGCTGGCTCAAAGCACTGGTAAAAGGAAACTGAAGCATCCCATTCCAGCCGGACCAACTACGGATTGAAAGACTCTTTCCTGTCTTCTTACGGTTATTTATTTAGAGTGCCATTCCCAAACAGGGTATCCGTTAAACCCTTTGGGGCAGGTTCTGCAGGGGAATGAGTGATGGCTGCGAGCACAGAGCAGTGGATCCAAGCGCAGCCGCTGCCCGGTGGAACCACGCTCCGGCTGAGCCAAGGAGCTCCGTGTACTTTGTGAGGGACACCTGTGTACACTGTCACCATCACAACTGCTCCCCTTGGTGGCAGTCTAAGTACAGAGGTCAAGGACAGAATGGAATTGAAAAGATTATCCTTTGTACCATGCCAGCCTGTGTGCTACCTGTTTTTGTAATTTAATGACGTGACATTCTGCTTAAGGAGTAAATGGACATTGAACTCTTTATAAACAGTATTTAAACAACCTAGTTTAAAACGGTACCTTTATTCTCTCTAGCAGCCCGTTGTGAGGACTGCGATTCTGAACTGAAATGTTTTTCTAGATGTATTCAGGCTGGCCAGCCTGGTGAGGTGAGCTTTAAACTGTGACAGATGAAAGACACGGGGATGCTGGAGTGAGTCCAGCACACAGCCGTGGAGATCACTGAGCGGTAAGAGAATCTCACAGAGGAGAGGCTGAGAGAGCTGGGACTGCTCAGCCTGAAAAGGGTCTGAGAGAGCTGGGACTGTTCAGCCTGAAAAGGGCTTGGGGGCCTTGTCAAGTGTGTAAGTATCTGGCCGGGTGGTATGAGGAAGACAGAGTCAAATCCTTCCCAGCGGTGCTGAGTGATAGTCTCAGAAATAAAAAAGGGCCAGGTAACCTAAGAGCACCTGGGGGTAACTGTACAAGTGGATGGGACTAAAAGGCTCAGTCCCTCTACTGAAATTCATGCCAAGCTACCAAGAAACCCATGCTCATGGTCAAGGCTATGGTGCATCTGGCAGCCCAGATTAACCCCTCCCTGCTGGACTGGCCATTTACTGCAGAATGCTCCCCAGAAGCTGAAATCTCCGGTGATCACTTATTTCATTGTCCCCCAGAGCTAATCATTGGCAGTTTTAAGGGACCATGAAAATCTGCAGCTCTATGGAAAAAGCAGCTAACTTTCTATCATCTTCAGTGTTTGCGTTTTTAAAATTGCTTTTGCAAGAAAAGGGACAGAAAATATTTTAAAAGAAATAGACAAGTTGAGGTTGTTTATAAAGGTCCCCAAAACATAGCAGATCAATGCCACTAAAACATGTCAGTGCCAAAACCTGGCTGTGTTAGGGGCACATGGTACCTGCAGTAAATACCTACAGAATCCATTCTCACAACCTAAGCATTTAGAAAAAATCAATAATACCTCTGAATCTTAATTTCTTGGATTATACATATGAATCTTTGATGTCCAGACACTGGCCACAGAATTATTCACATCAAAACCCAATGCAATTGAAAGAAACACATTTGATCTGTGTTTCTTCAGAAAATCTTAGCTGAGTGAGCCATGTTAACTGCTGCCAAGATGGACAGAGACGCTCAGATGCAAACACCGAGCTGAACTGGGGAACCTTATAAATACCTTTGACATTTACGTGCTGCTTGAGTCTATTTAAATAACCACGTCTGTCAGTTATCCTTCTTAGGAGTTTCCATGTATCACAGGGGCTCAGGGATGGTCTACTATTAAGAACTGCTCCAAAAATAGTTTGATTTCTGTAGTATCTACGAACATCAAAGGCAAATGACATCATGTGTATTAAAATCACAAAGCACATGAATTTCCTATATTCTCTGAAATTAAAACAAATTGAAAAACATAGCACACTGCTCATCACGTTTTTAAATCAAACCACCTCAGCACGGAAAAGAATGAAAGCCAAAAGCGTATCGGTTTTGGCTTTAAAAGTGCGGTGAAAATGATTGTGTGATGTTAGTTTCCAATGTTAAACCTCCATCCATATAGAGGATCCCACATCAAAATGTATTTTCTTAATAGGGGATCTTATTAAAAAATTGCTAGGAAAGACGATAGCAAAATCATGTTTGAAAGTGCCAGAAATGTGAAATATTTTTTTGTTATAGTTTCTTATAATAACCTAAATGCAAATGGGAATTACCATGACTAAAGATAAAAGGTTCAATAGTGTTGAAATGAGAGTAAAGGAGATAGAACAGAAAATAAATGTCTTATTCCAGCACAGAAACTTTAAAATTCATTACAACCCTAGTACTCAAAAATGTTTAATGGTCTAATTTACAAACTTCATTAAAATACTAATATGAGAAAAACAAAAAACCAAAAAAGCATCAATATAAATACACTGTATTTTCCTAGCTCTACAAGAGTGCCTAACTAAAATATCAGTCTTACCGCTCACGTAGCTCTGGGTTAAATCACTTGAGCAAGCTCAGACTTTTGTAAGGTCTTTAGGATTTCACCCATTTTATGCATGTATAGCTTCATAATTGTTTCTCTTAGTAATACAATTTTGATCACCTCCTGACCATTTTGAGGAAAAATAAATTTTGCAATTTTAAATTTTTCTCTGTAACATTCTGTTTTCCTCCCCTTAAGGACCTCTCACAAATACACGTGTGTACGTCTGTGCACATGTATAATGGGGGCTAAGCATCTCAGTGGAATTCCTCATACTAAGTTTCAATGGAAACTTCTGTGCACAGAGTACAATACGTGTACTGTGAATGAAGAAGATAACATACAGCTATACAGATCTACACATCAGACAATTTTATAAGGTCTAAGAATTAATTGGTTAGTTTAAAATGCTGAAATGATTCCCTTAGGATTTATGAGCTAAGAATGCTCAGGGGTTTAGTGTCCTGACATCTCTTTAATTAGCAGTCTCCAAGATCTCACACTAAGAAGATGCTAAGCCAGTGCCTTCTGTCATATCTCAAGAGTTTCAGAAGGCTCAGAAGCCACAGAGGAAGGTGAATGTACTATGCCCGACAGCTGTACAATATGTTCAAAGTACCACCTTCTTACTAGTATCAAGTTAGGACTTCTTGCTACCACTCCTACTTTGATGGTGATGCA